CCCTGAAAACGAATAATTTTAGGTACTTTACCGAAAAACATAATTACTTACAATTAAAGAAAAAAGAAAAAAAAAAAAAAAATTAAACAGTTGTGCTGCTTACAATAAGTAAAAAATAATACATAATTATGTAAGTGTTTAAAAAATTTCTTTGTATTGTTGCGTTCGCGCCAATTTAATATCGATAAGTCAAGTGAACACGAGAGACAAATCAATACTTCACTGCGTGATGATGTATTCAACAAGAGAAGCGTGTGATTCCTGTGGCAACGAATCAACAAAAGTAAACAAAAACAAATTACTGTTCTCGATGTCGGACGAATGTCTCGATTGGTATTGTAATATTTTGGAATGTATTTGAGAGTCACATAAATGACTCTCCTACATTATAAAGGATATTAAATGTTAAATGTTATCTAAATAACTCGTTATTATTTATTCACTAGTGTGAGTGTGCTCATAAATGTGATTAGCGAATGGTTACGAGTGATCTTGGACGCAACAGAATATTACTTTTTTTTTTATCGCACATTTATATTACAGGTATAAAGTTTTATGATCAAAATTGACGGCGTTCGTTCTTTTTATCGGTCCAAGAAAATTATTGAAATCTTACGCGATTTGTACTTGCGTTAAAAACTTAAATACGTATGATTAATCGCACTTTTGTAGAATTGAAAAGTCGACAAATTCGTATTTGAATAAGATTCACGAGATTCTACGCGGTTCCCGGCCCTCGCAATAATTATCTTATTTTGTATTCTATTATCATAGAATCGAGCATCCATCGATCGAATGTCATGCAAGAGGAATCTCGTAGCCGTCCCGCCTGTCACATGTCAACCGGATGGACACCTGAATTCCGAGGAGATAGGAACCCCGCTGATCGCGTAGGTGTTGGCTGCACGTAAGATCGGTAAAGGATATTAATAACAGCAGTACTACGTGTCAAAAGTATCCTTTCCCCCCTGTAAGGACGTGTGTCAATCGTGATCGCGTGTCAATCTGTACTGACATGAGAATTATGACAGGCGAAATTTATGATTTAAAAATGCAATATTTTTACAAGTAGCCATCAAATAAGTATATATGTTATCCCATGAATTACTGAAATTGAATTCGCTGGAACGATACGATGAGCGCTTTCGTCCGAAATTTTACAACACTATTGGTACTTTCAACATGCTCGCTAATATGTACGAGATTATCATGAACACGTGATAATTCTACGAATTAGCTCAATTTCCATTAAACATCATCTATTACAGTTGGATAATAATAAAGTATCTCATTTCCATATTTCTTATACGCTTCTTACAGTGCGGCAAAACAGGAAATGCGAAATTACCTTCTATTTCTCTCTGCCGAGACACGGCGTTTTGCGCCTTGGAGAAAAAAAACTATCTGCAGATTTCATACGGTTTCGAGAGGAAAAATCGTCGACGACATGCGCGCGCGAGGAGAATCTCGATTTGTCCGCTAATTGTGAGAGAACGGTCTTGTATGTACTTTCACGAAATTTCTTTGCTCGTCTCGCACGGCGTGTAGTCGCGCGGAAGAGGGAGAAAGAGAGAGAAGCGACGTTGCATCGACTGCATCGGCTGCATCGGCTGCATCTCGCACAGCGTAAGCGCGGTAGTGCTGTCAGGGGGGGTGCTACGTACCCACCGGCGCCTTAATGCACATAGGTATTGTCGCTAATGCGCCTGGGCGCAAGAAGAAGATGAATAGGGAAGCGCGCTGCCGTGGCTGGCTGTGCGCGCCGGGTCTGTTGGATTGTTGTTCGCGGACGCATCAATCAGTCGCCGGTGCAATCTGTCGAGCGCGACGCCTTTAAGGCGATTCTCGCTTGTCAGCGCATCTGCCGGCTGTGTAGGCCGCGGCGCGCGGCAAAATGTAGGACGGGGACTTTTGTTCCACGGCGATTTGTCGTGCAGCGCGACGCATCGCACGTTTCTAATGGACGGACTTTACGGCTCATCCTGGTTCGACGTAACGGCCGTGATTGAGTTATAGGAAAAAAGCGCGCGCCGCGTTTACGCCTCCTCTCTTTCTTTCTTTCTTTCTCTCCCGCTCGAGGTGACGACCGGCGACGATTACCGTCTCCGCGATGCTGGCCAAGTGCGACAGCTTTTCGCCGCGCCGGACGCGACTTCCAGTTTTCAATCATCCGCCGGGAATACTCGGGATTCGTTATAGCTCGCGGCGAATTAATCCGTGACGGAGATCGTTAACGGACATCGTCCGTCGCGCGAGAAGAAACTGGAATTCTCGGATGCTGGATTGATATGAAGTGCGCAAAGGTGCGATCGGCGAATGTTTGATTGGTAATTTATTCAATTCTTCATCTAGAAGAGAGGAGTATACAGATTCAACTTAATCTGCACGGCGAAGCATCGAGGAAATTCAGAAGAATGCCCGCACGTCGCGCGCGAAGGCTGATATGTCGACTGTTATTCTCGTAATTTGATGTACAAAGCGTAATTTATCGGACAGCCGTTAGGGCTTGCCCGACATAGTGTTCGCTCTGACGAATCCGCGCGTCTCCAATCGGTATCTATACGAGCGCGGTAAACGAACGTTACGTGCATTCCTCCTACAGCTACTGGCGCTTATGATTTATGTACCACAACACAGCGCACGCATATACAGCACACATACGCACGTGCATCTCGCGCGTGTGTGTGTGCACGATCTCGCTTCACGCGAGAGTCGTCGCGGAGACGTATGAATCTGTGAGAGGCTGCGAGGAAAGATATCTGCGCCGGCAGATGTTTGAGACGCGCTGTCGAGGACTCGCTAGATTTCTTCCGAGATCTCTCTCTCTCTCTCTCTCTTTCTTTCTTTATTTCCCTTTCCCCTCGCAGTCATGTGCTCTTTTTCTCGCGGTATTCAATATCGTCTCTGGTATCTTATTAAATTCATCACTCGAAATTCGGGCAGAAACAAATTTAAAAGTCAGATGAAATAGATTTCATTCTCGCTCATTAGAAAATATATTCCCGACTGGTATATGTTTGTATTGATGTTATCACTCATTGCACCACTTCAATCGAATATGCTTCCAATGAAAACAATCTCGAAATGAGTTCTATTAATAATAATGAGTGTATTAGATCTCTCGAATAACAGTTTCAGCTAATAAACCGAGAACTATTAATAAAACACACGAACGTTTTGTTAAGGTTTCAATCGACGCACTTATCGTCGTATAATTTTGCGCTAGATCTACTTAATGCAAGTATCGCATTGGATGTTTCTCTATTACTCTCCGTCTTTCTCATTAAAGTGCCATAAAACGCGATCGGACTCTCCTTTCAGGACTCGACATCTGCAATTTTGTTTTTATTCCGCCTATAATATCGCACGAGCTGCAACGAAGCTATTCCGATCTATTTGACAGTGATCAACTGACCGCTTGACACCTGCCACCGTCGTCGTTTAACCTACCGTCTCTCTACGGTCCTCGATCAGTTACCTCGAGTTACCTACTTTTCACCTCAACACGTCGCGTGTGTTTTCGTACGTGACTGCTGGCAAAGCTCGTTTCTGTCACGAAAGTTGTGAATGAAAATATTGATGGATACGGATTCAGCCCTCACCCTTTCTCACACACATCGCGGTACGTGGAAAAAATATTTTGTTTGGTCTCCCGATTCGTTGCTAACTAGTCGGAAGTTTTTTCTCAGGCTTTGGCGATCATCATTATGCGATAATAATGATAGACTGTTGTTCATTCCTTCGCCATTTCACTAGATTTCATTTTACGAACGTGTTTAAGAACAAATCATTGTATGTAATTAGTGAATCATTCACAGTTAATTAGTTAATGCATTGGAAATTGTACGCGGAACATGGCACTCACGGCTACAAGCGTCCACACTTTGTCGCGTCTTTTGTTTTCTATGTCCGCACGTGGCCTCAATGACCATACGAAGACAGAAATTCGTTTCACACATCCTAGATAGCCCTGGCGCGGAGGCGCATTATGCATTTCACAGCGCATAAGTCCAGCAGCTGCTTGGAATCCCCAAGTGGCGAACGGAACGGACTGTGACGCCCCGCCGTGTTTCTTGGTTCTTGGTGAAAATTGCCCGGTCGGGGTGCGCGTACGTAGGAATTTACAGGCGACAGAAGTGCGCTAAAAACTTAACTTTCTCGCGAGACTTCTGATATTACGCGAAATTGACGTGCATCAGGGATTTTATGAAGACACGCTTGCAGCGCAAGAAAATTTTATATTAGATCCGTCGACGGAGCCAGTGCGATAAACCTATTTAGCTGAATAAATCGAAGTAAACAATTTGGATCATAGTTTATCACTATATTTAATGGAACAATTGCTAAGATGAACGTGTTAACGCTTTCATTTTGATTTGAAAAGAAAATATTGGAAAGTTACATAAAATTGATGGCAAAACTTGACATTTCGATGAGACCGATATTAAAAATTGAATTGAAAGAATTTTACAAACGGCTTGGATAAGCAGAAAATTTTCTTAGTGACAACTATATCGCGATTTCAATAAGTACCGGATGTTACGTGCGCCGTTTTGTTGAAACACGCACAGCGGCCGGAAACAGCGATCCTGGCAATGCGTCATCGGCAAAACGCAAGTAATTAAAGATCCGCGAGAAAGACGTGCGCATTACCCGCGGTCGCCGGTGTGCTCTTACGGCTAATGGGCGAAGATATTAATTATGATTCATTCGGATTCATAGTCATCAGATTAATGCATACCGGCGTGGGTTACTTGCGGCCGGCGGTGGGTTTGCGCGCTCGCGCCAAGTTCTCCAACTATCGCCACAAGTGTATCCTAATGTCCGACCAACCCGCGTCTCCGTCTGCCTCTCTCATTTCCATAGCGCGCATCTCGTTTCTCTTATTAATTTCGTCCTACGGCTTCTCTCCGCCACTCGTCCGCGTCTCCGTTTCCACCGTGCGGATTGCCCTCTCTCACGATCTTCTTTGTCTAACTCCTTTATCTCTGCGCTCGCTTCCCCCCTCCGGCCCATCTCCGATCCTCTGTGTCTTTCGACTTTCTTTCCTCTCTCGATTCGTAACCCGGTGTTGTGCGTAAATATTGTTCGCCAGTCCAAGGATACTTGGAGGGCTCTCCTCCGGCGCTCGAGGTTCTAAGCAAATATTCAAGTGCCACGGCAAATAGTGCGCTACCGGCCGCTCGCCGGCCTAGCAAATCCTTGTGCAAAGATATACACGGCGGAGTAGTCCGTCAATCACGGGCAAAGGTCATCCGGTAGTTTTCTGCTTCTACGATTATGAGACTGAGCCTGTGGTTCGACACCGCGATCGTTATCCAATAACGCGCGCCGGCGATAATGATTAATTCGCCGATATTGTTTGATTGGCTGTGTACGCTCCACATCATTATCTTACATTTCTGACGCAGATTCATTCTTTCGAATAAAGAACTTAAACATATCACGAATGTGCAATAAATATGTTATTACCTTACGATTATGCATCTTCTAGGAAATAGTATTCATCTTGCATATATTTCTCTCCTCGCTTGTAATTATGTATTAAAAAAAACGAACTTAGCATTTTATCGATTCTGCTCAAACGTCTCAAATTAATGGAACGATAAATATCAGACAATTTATTTCAATGACGGAAATTCAATACGACTGCGTTCTGCTAAGAAACTAAAACATCTTTCCTGATTTATTCATATCTAGCTATGCACACAGTGTAGTAGTAATTATTCCATTATATAATAGGCTTATTTTTCATTTTTTTTTTCGATAGATGTTCGCACGCGAAGCCGCATGAAAATTAAGCTAATAAAAAAAGGCCAGAAAATGAGATAATCAACATTCTTCTGTGAACATAAATATCTACCACTTTTTGCACAATGACTTTTTGTCACAAAGGTATTTTAATTGTTTCACGTTGTTGCTTCCTATTCTCTTCGTGTCTGTCAAAGCCTGCGGGTGCATATTGTAGTGGTAATTATTATCACGTCTTGACATATTCAAGTTCATTCTCATTATTTACATGGAATTTCTAAGACATTCCCCGTAATTGTTCGCTGCCCGCAGGATAGCAACCGCTTTCTTTATGCCTTTGTACGTAATTACTAATTACTTTGCATAATTAATTTTTTTACTGTACTACGTAAATTAAATGTATCTTTTATCGATCTCGCAAAAGTAGATCTATAATTTGCAACAAGAATTTAATAAACTAAACAAAATAGAGAGCAATTTTTATGTCATCCACTTATCATGTTACTTTTTATAATGCATTATTTTGAATAATTTATTCACCTCTGTCGCTTGTAAAATTAAAGAATAAACTATGCAATTTGAATTGAATATTAAGTGGTGTATTAATGAAGTTTCGAATTGCATACAGAATTGACAAGTTAATAAGTTCATAGAAAAATGTTAAATCTTTCCGAGTTTCAGTTTTACAGCAAACATCAACATTATGATTCTTTTTTCAGAAAATATTTTTTAGTAAAATAATAATATTATTTTTTAGCAGAATAAAAGTAAAGATTTTTTTAAATGACTCGATAATGGAATTTCTCGTAGTCGTTTAAATGGAAAGATCGGCGCTAGTGATCCATAAAGGATCAAAGGATAATCCGCTTGAAAGTCGAACCACTTAATTACATCCTAAAAGCTTAGAATATCCTACTGTTGTCCAAGCTATGGTCACTTGAGGTTTTCAGTTTCCCAGACATCGAGATCGTTAGACTTTAAATGACAAGGTAAAAAGTACCTGTCGAAATAGTACCCCGTTTCCGCTACTATAGTTGCCTTCGAGAAAGAGTTTCCGTTAGGAATTTTTCTAAAGCATTCCTCGAAACTAGTTTATGAAATGTGACGAAAAAAAAATGATTAATTTTCTTTTGCTTTTTTTCAAACAGATAAACATTTTTTCTACTTCAGTGCACATTCAAACATCTCTTACAAATATTATATCCATAAAATGTAGGTACGTGATAAAAAAATAACTGCATAATGTATGAAAAATAATAAGAGAAAAAAGTAGGAAACATAAGAATGCGTAATCTCACAAGCATGCTCAACAGAGTTGGAATATGAATGAAGTTTTGTAGACCTTCGAATGCAAATTGTTATCCAGAGATTAGACACACGTGTACTGAACTATGAACCGCCTTCGATAGAGATAAACTGCATAAAAAAACTACGCGCCGAGCTGTGCGAGTCGACACGACGCACCCGAGACTCGCTTTTGCAGAAGCGCGCCGTCCTCCTCGCGAAGACGAAGAAAGAAAAAAAAAAAGAATCCGACGATACGTCGGAAACGTGTGCCGCCCGACTGTAGTGGATCGCATTACGTGTGCGTCGTTTGTATCTCGGTGTATATGGTAACACGTAGCAATTACAGGTGACTGAGGTCAGTGTTAATACGACGGTCGCGTGAGAGAAGAGCTCCAAAAATGATATGGCTCGCGAGCGGCGACGGCGCGTTCTCTTGCGTAAGTCCTCCCCGCATAATACGCACGACATATCCGTCTCTGTAGGCAAAGGTCCCGGGCGTAAGAATATATTAATTTAGTGTACTCATTACGTATTGAGAGTCCCGCGGACGCGGCGCGCGGAGTATATAATACTCCACCGGCGGCGGTTGCGTTGTAATGACAGTTCTACACGCGCACATGCGGGACGCAAGGTCACATGACGTACGGTTAGAGATGCATGAAAGCGAGTTTCAGCGGGACGTCGGTCCGAGACCGCTCTTTTTGACATTTCTTCGAAAGAAATTACACGGAGAAAGAGGGAGAGAAAGAGGAAGGAGAGAGAGAGAGAGAGAATCATTATTTAAAAAGCGCGCATTATTTTGAGCCGCGATGTCAACCTTTCAACTATCGTAACATTGAATGTTTTCGCTCAAGATGATTGTCGTTTTAGGTAATAATTTTGTCACTGTAACAATTAAAAAAAAAAAAAAAAAAGAAAAAAAAGTAAAAAAAGTAAAAAGTTAAAGTTAAATTAAATAATAAGTAGTAGTA